TTACATTGCATATGTCTGTTGTCTTCATAGATTGATTACTATGGAGTTGCTGCAACAGTGTACTGTATGCTCTTTGGGACGTACATGAAAGTCAAAAATGAAGGAGGAGTCTGGAAACCTGCAGGTCTTTTTAGAAGGTCGGTTATTGGCATTGGTACTATAGTAATAATAATAATAATAACAGCAAAATAGTTGATTTTTATCTAGCTAGAAAATGAACCTGGGTAGTAGATTTTGGTAATAGAACATAATCCTCACATTAGGCACTGATCAAATCTAGCATTCAGTGCCTTGTAAAACCATTGAGAACTGACTGTGTGGGTTAGCATTCTGTTCTTTTTTTTTTTTTTTTTTTTTTTTTTTTTTTTTTTTGATTTTTTGAGACAGGGTTTCTCCGTAGCTTTTGGTTGTAGACCAGGCTGGCCTCAAACTCACAGAGATCCGCCTGCCTCTGCCTCCCGAGTGCTGGGATTGAAGGCGTGCGCCACCACCGCCCGGCTTAGCATTCTGTTCTTGACCGTTTTTATTTACTGTAAGTGAAGTCAATGTTGGCGAACCTTGGGGTTTTGTTTGTTTGTTTTCTTGTTTATGTAAATGGGAATGATGATGATTCTGCTTTGCTCAAATTTTATAAGCAAAGAAAATAATACAGGTGAAGTGGTTTTGTAAATTATAAATAAAATGAGGTAACTTCTGTTACAAGACAGGGTTTTTAAGCTTCAGCCCTATGTAACTTTAGTTTATAAAATACTTAAAGGTTAATGATTCGTTTGGAGCTTATCATGTCAGCATTGTCCCTTAAGTAACACTCTGTGAACATACCACTGGTGGTATTGACTTGAAGCTGATTATTCTATACACATATGTTTCCATATATCATATTAACTTTTTTTGAGATATAAAAACATATACAGGGAAAAAAATCACTCATGTGTTAGCCTAATGGAATTTTACATGTTTATTCCTTCCTGAAAAAGATGTATAGTATGAGGTTTTCCTCATTCTCCCACCCACTCACTATCAAAGCAGAAAAGGAAAGAGTTTGCAGAAATTTTATATACATCATGTACAGTAGATTTGGAACCCAAAAGAAAACTTAACAACAGTTGTCCTTTATTCTGTATGGAGCCATCAAATTCAGCAAGTACTTCATTCACATTGTTTCCCTTGCTCATTATCAAAGGACCAGAGGGTCCAGAAGGCCTCCGTCTATTGCCAGAAGCATATAAAATAGCCAATGCTTCTTTCTCAGTTTCCATCTAGAATGGCATTTTAGTATGTACTGCTTTCTCTCTCTCCAGGGCCTTTTCTCCCTGTTTTGAAGTTTTTGTTTTTGGCTAAGACCCTTAAGTGTGAGCTCTGTCCTAAAGAGTGCAGCCACAGCCTCCTTGTCTAGATACCTTGCTATATATACAGTTAGGCTTATCATAACCAAGTACTAGATTATCAGATTCTGGCAGTGTGGTATACAAGAAGCCAAACGAAGGCATATTTTCTTTAAAAGATGATTTTTCTACTAAAGAACTATTGCTCAAACAATATTTGGTTGGGTTTTTAATTCCTCCTGTGTATGATGAATTCTTGGTTTGCTAAGATGCAGACAGGTGAGGGCTGTTCTTTTAACATGTTCACACCTATGGAAAGTAAATGCATGAACAGGTTGCTATGTATGTTAAAGTTGCATTTTTTCTATTGTGATATTTTATCTCTTCAGGCTTCCTCATTTGGATATGTGGGAGGAATTCTTTCATGTCATGTTGAATATACCAGATTGTTATCATCTGCCATCTTTGGATTTGTTGAGACAAAAGCTGAAGATATTATTTGAACAACAGTATACCAACAAGATTAAGACCCTACGTAATCGGCTAATTGTGCTGCTCTCAGAATATAAGCGGTTGAGAAAATAAAATATGGATATGGACCTTATCCAAAAACATTTTGTAAATTTAAACTCCCTCCCACATTGAATCCTGTTTTTTTTCACACTTTTATTTATGTATGTTCAAAAAAATAAAGTCCATAAGGTACACCATGTGTTGCTATAAATATTCTAATGAAATTGACAAAGGACACCCATGTGAAGCAGGCCAATCAGTTGGGTTGCTCTTTGCGTCGTACAAGTTGTCATGAGAATGATTCAAATTTAAATGCCTTCTAGAGGGGCTGGAGAGATGGCTCAGAGGTTAAGAGCACTGGCTGCTCTTCCAGAGGTTCTGAGTTCAATTCCCAGTAACCACATCATGGCTCACAATCATCTATAATGAGATCCGGTGCCCTCTTCTGACCCACGGGTATACATGCATACAGAACACTGTATACATAATAAATAAATAAATCTTTCCTACTGAATATGTCAAGAAGTGTGAAATATTGGTACTTGTGTCAAGCCACATACCACTATATCTTCTAAGGAATATCATGGTTTTCATTGTTATGGCTGTCAAATTTCTCATAAAGTTTTTCTTTTAAGCTGCAGAATAGCAGTTATTGTTTTTCAATAAATGTTCTATATTTACAAAGAAAAAAAAATAAATGCCTTCTAGAAATCACCTTTCTAAACATTGAGCTATTTAAGTCCAAAGTAGGCCAGAAGGACTTAAAATGTACATTTAGTTAGCATATCTTGGATTAGGTTTCATTATGGCACTTTCAGACAAAATTTGTTTTTGTTGATTTTTCTCCCCCATCCTTCTGACCTGTTCGTACTCATAACACACCCTCCCCCCCTAGCTTACTCTCTGCTTTCATGTCTCATCTATCTGTGTCCCTTCCTCAATATTTCTTTTCCTTCTCAAGGTCTTTTAGTTTCAAAGCTACCGTTACTGTTAGCCCCACTTATCTGCATATAAACATTATAAGTTAGGGTCTGCACATTGAATATGCTATATATTTACCCCCATCTGAAACATAGCTGGGAAAGTTTCTCCCCATTGTGTGCTGTCTCTTCACTCTGCTGATAGTTTCTTTTCCTATGTTACTGGAGTTGTATTCAGGAAGCTTTTGCCTGCATCTATGTTTTGTTGCTTTAGTTTTGCTTTGGGTTTAAGATAGGGTCTCTTTAAGTAACCCTGTCTGGCATGGAGCTCATAGAGATTTGCCTGCCTCTGTCTCCCAAGTGCTGGGAGTATCTGCAACTAACTCCCATGGTAGTTATGCCAGGGTCCACGAGGCCCTGTTCCTGTGCCACTGCCACATATATCAGGCTTTTGACTTGTTGTTTTGGCAGGTAAATAGCATTTCACTCTAGTCTTGATTTACATTTCTCTTACAGATATATCCGTGTTGTTTTTTTTTTAAATTTGGCTAGGCACGTGTTTTTTTTTTTTTTTAGTGAACCTCTATTTGTTCGTTTTCTGTATGTCGTCTTTATTTTATAAGACATGTATATAACTTCAAATTATCCTAAATTGGCATCTGTGTTTTGACTAAAGATTTCTGCTTCTGTGAAGAACTTAGAATTCTGCTTTATAGACTGATTCGTGGTCTTAAATAGCATTTGACTTCTATGTCTTAAAATGTTATCCTTAACTGAAAAAAGAAAAGGTCTAGTTTTTTCAAAAACTAGTAATAGTTTAAATATTTAAGACTATCTTTTCTGGTTTATTTTAAATACCCCCCCCATACATTTTTTTCTTAGCTGGGAGTTTGAATATATGAAACCTGTTGGTTTCAGCTGATTCTTCGAAGTTTCCATATTACTATCTTTTTGTTTTGTTTTGGGGGTGGGGTTTTTTTTTTTTTTTTGGTTTGGTTTTTTTTCAAAACAGGGTTTCTCTGTGTTGCCCTAGCTGGCATGGAGTTCAGAGATCCACCTGCCTCTGCTTCTCAAGTGCTGGGGATCAAGGCATTTGCCACCACCACCCTGCATCATATTATTGTCTATATGAAAGCAGTGTGTATCGTGTGTCATTCCTGTTTTTGCCATATCTTTGTGTTAATGGTTACTACCTAGAAAATGATGTTAAATAATGGTGCAATGCTCCTGGACATTCTACTTCAGTGGGAAACCTTCCTATGTTTAACTATTAAACTACAAGATACTCTCTTAATATGGTTATTTTAAGTTAGTATCTATTGATACTGTTGGTTTTCTTGCCTGAATTTCCATCTGTATTGATCCAGCTGTATACTAACCCCCTTTATTAATGACATTTGCACTACTCTCAAAGGTCAGTGCGTGTGCAGTAGGGGATCCCAGACAAACCAGTCTGTCCTGGACTCTGTCAGTCAAGGCAACATTAGAGAAAAGCCTCCATCGTATTGTAACTGCCAGTGTATTTTAAATTTGCCTTGATTTAGGACTTTTTCTGTTCTGTAAAACTATAAAACTTAATGAAACTACTTCTATGTTTGAACATGGAGTTGGAGTACCCTAAATCTGTATTCCCAAGCTGGGCACTCATAATGGCTCCAGAATAAACTCTTACTTCCCTTAAAATGAGAGCTGTGGTTATTGCATTGACACTGGTAACATGGAAACTGATTACATAGTGACTTGATAACATCATGTGTACTGGGATAAACAAAATATTAAAGGCAATTGTCTATATTCGTTCATTTATAATGTGTCATTACAAATTTTCTCTTCGTTTATCATTTTAAAATCAAGTTACCAGAAAGCTTAGTTATTCAGCTGCTAAGGAAAACAAACAGAAACAGATGACACCAACTCAGCTATGATACAAGGCAATGTCTAATGTCAAACAAGAAATGTGGAAGAAATGCGGAGCCTATCCAGAAATCAAGACAGTCTTTATTATTATTATTATTATTATTATTATTATTATTATTATTATTATTATTATTAAAGATTTCTGCTTCCTCCCCGCCACCGCCTCCCATTTCCCTCCCCCTCCCCCGATCAAGTCTCCCTCCCTCATCAGCCCGAAGAGCAATCAGGGTTCTCTGACCTTGCAGCATGCTGCTCCCTTGTCTTACTCATGCTTGGGGCGGGTCTTATACCAGCACTGCGACGTTTGATCCGTTCGCCTTTCCGTAGTTCACTCTACGTTTCTCCTTGCTGCAATGGCGGACGTGTCAGAGAGGACGCTGCAGGTGTCCGTGCTAGTGGCTTTCGCCTCTGGAGTGGTCCTCGGCTGGCAAGCGAATCGGCTGCGGAGGCGTTACCTGGACTGGAGGAAGCGGAGGTTGCAAGACAAGCTGGCGACAACTCAGAAGAAGCTGGACCTGGCCTGAGCGCGCGCGGCGGCCCAAGCCCTCCGGGTCCTCACTCCCCAAATCCCACGCGGCCCGGATTCGGTGAGCCGCGCGACCACACGCCCGGGGGAGTCGCCTTTGCACGGCTTGCAGAAATGTGGTTTGTTCCTAGACCTCAGAGAAAATAGTTTGGTCTTCTCTAGATACTTACTCTTCGGGTGTTACAGCGAATGTTTTACCACGTGCGATGCGTTGCACCGTAACGTTTAACTTCGGAGTGGAAAATACTAGGCAGAAAAAGGGGGAGGGCGGGACAACTGTGAAGTATTTCACGCCCCAGCCTACCCCACCCCCGAATTCATTTTTAATGTGGCTTTGAAGTTTTTGCAAACTTCAATTCTTTTTTTTTTTAAATATTTATTTATTATATATACAATATTCTGTCTGTGTGTATGTCTGCAGGCCAGAAGAGGGCACCAGACCTCATTACAGATGGTTGTGAGCCAACATGTTGTAGTCGTGAATTGAACTCAGGACCTTTGGAAGAGCAGGCAATGCTCTTAACCTCTGAGTCATCTCTCCAGCCTGCAAACTTCAATTCTAAATCTTAAGTTGTTGGTAGAAAAAGTGGATATCAGTAGCCTTACGTTTCATAGCTATCTGTAGTTTTCTTATTGTTCATGGTTTACCGTCACAGTACAGTAATTTGAATTTAAAGATTGTGTGTTACTGATTTTTTTTTCTTTCGTTTTCAACAGCTTGTCGAAAATGGATAAAAAGCACTGGAAAGAAAGCATTTCTTCTTGCACTTTATGAATCTATTTTTAAAATAAAAAGATTAAACAACCTTGAATCTTTTCCCTCCTCACAGAGGAAATGAATATTTTGCCTACCATTCAGTTTGCTGCAGCAAAAGATCTGGAGCCTGAAAGTAGAGGCCTTAAGAAATCTTTCACATCCTCGGTACAGCCTGGAGGCAGCTCTGATCCAGGGACCCTTCTGTGTTCTTTTTCTAGATGTAGTCAGAAAAGATAGGAGCTATGGCAGATGACTGAAGTAAACATTATAGATATTTGCACTTTGAAGAATGAACATTTAAGATATTTAAGAATAAACATTTAAGATATTTGCACTTTGAAGAATGAAAGTTTACTGCAAACGTTGAGTGTAAAAACTCTTTATGTCTAAGCGTGGAACGTATGTGTGAAAGAGAAACCTTTGAGTAGAGCTTAATGATAAACGCCAGTCATAACGAGTGCCCAAGTTCCGGGCTGTTTATTTATAAGATGCATTTCTGATGTGCTGTCCTCATTTTTAAGAAAATCAGTTTTGAGGTAACCCAGACCCAGAAAGACAATTATCATATGTACTCATAAGTGGTTTTTAAACAAAGCAAAGAAAACCAGCCCACAAATCACAACCCCAGAGAACCTAGACAACAAAGAGGACCCTAAGAGAGACATACATGGATCTAATCTACATGGGAAATAGAAAAAAACAAGATCTCCTGAGTAAATTGGGAGCATGGGTACCATGGAAGAGGGTTGAGGTGGAGGGGAGAGGCAGAGAAAAAATGTAGAGCTCAATAAAATCAATAAAAAAAATAATAAATAAGCAAAACAAAAGAAAATCAGTTTTGTGTCTCAGCACTTTAACATAAGAAAGTTCATTCTTCAGGAAAACCCCACTGCCCATTTTTCTAGGGTTATTGTGCCTTTTTATTTCTAACGTTGTTCTTATTCTGTGAGTCCATCAAGGGCTGAGATGTTGGCTTTTAGAGCTCCATCCTGTTTAGTTGGCTGAAGCTTTTTGGTCAATATTCCTCACCGAGACTTAGTTGAGGATCTTTGCGGTAGAGTAAGTAGGAAGGTGATGGTATTCATCTGTGTGGTTACCAGAAGTGCCTACCTACATTGCTCTCTGCCTTTTCTTTTTCCTCATGTATGTGGAGTATGTGCCTTCATGTACATATGTTCACATGTGTACGAGTGCATGTGTGATTATGTATGTAGGTATAGACCCAAAGTTGGTCAGAGGGACTGCCACTCCACTTGGCACATACATAGTCACTTTTGCAGCAGGCATTTTAACCATGGATCCATCTCTCCAGCCCTCCCCTTTAACCAGAGGCCCTCACTGAAGCTGGGAATTTGTATTTGGCTGGTCTGGTCTCAGCACTTGTGTTACAGACTGCCCTGTCCACCTCATCTTTTTACCTAAATGCTGGGTGTTTGATGCCAGATCTTCCATGTATAGTGGGCATTTTCCTAATTGAGTTCAAAAGGCTACATGACTGGGAGGCCTTGCCCTTGTCCCCCATTCCCACTTCCTTGCTAAAAACCATTAGATTACATTCCTAAAGCTAGCCACTAAGATCTATGTAACACCCTATTCTGTGTTATACCCTCGGTACAGTTCGCGTGCCACTGTACCCTACACGAGTTGGGCAAGGGCCTGGAGATTGAAAGAACACACAAAGAGACCTGGTCATTTGAAAGGAGATCAGCCGAAAGCCGTTTATTCAAACTTGGGGAAATCCTTATGTACCTAACTGCTGCACAAGGACCTCCGCCCAGGCAGCTGGGAAATTACCATACCAACAATGGAGCCAATGCCCTACAGCTGATTTTAAAGAAAATCAGTTTTGAGGTAACCCAGACCCAGAAAGACAATTATCATATGTACTCATAAGTGGTTTTTAAACAAAGCAAAGAAAACCAGCCCACAAATCACAACCCCAGAGAACCTAGACAACAAAGAGGACCCTAAGAGAGACATACATGGATCTAATCTACATGGGAAATAGAAAAAAACAAGATCTCCTGAGTAAATTGGGAGCATGGGTACCATGGAAGAGGGTTGAGGTGGAGGGGAGAGGCAGAGAGGCGGGGCAGGAGGAGCACAGGAACAAACAGAATGCTTTGTCAGCTGACCAGAAACTGTCTTCAAGATGAACCCCAGGAACAAGGGTAGACCCAAGCCCTACAGGTCTATTTCCTTATTTGGTCACTTTCCCCTGAGACTAACTACCATGATTCAGCTATCAAGTATTGAAGTCCAGGAGCAATCAAAAGTCCCCTTTAACATGCCAGTCAAAATTGAACACCTCATCTCAACATGTAGTTTCCTCTTTTTACCCTTACAAAGTGCCAATTGCCTATGGGCCAAGTCTGTCTCCTCTCTAACCAGAGGCAGTAGTCCTTCGTCAGCCCTGTGTCCCCCCCCCCCCCCCCACCAGGACAAATATCCCTCCCTTTTCCTGTGAGAACTTCATCTGATAAAGGTCCCTTTAGAACCATCTCTCCAGCCCCAGGGTAGGGGAAGTTTTGTAGTCTTTGAGGCTTAGTTGGTGTCTGTTTCATTTTGTCCCAAACTGAAAATTCGAGGTTAAACTGAGTTGTGACTGGACCAGCTCTGCCTCTGGGCCTGTTCCTCGAAGACCTGGTATTTGCAGTAGTTTTTGTTGTTTTAAATTTTATCTGTATGAGTTTTACCCGAGTGCATGTCTGGGTACCACATCATGCCTGGTACCTGTAGAGGCCAGAAGACAATGTCAGATCCCCTGGAACAGGAGTTACAAAGTGGTTACAACCTACCATGTGGATGCTTGGGATTGGACCCGGGTCCTCGGCAAGAGTAATTAATACTCTTAACCATTGAGCCATGTCTTCAGCCCTCTTTTCTCATTGCTTACATGCAGCATCCAGATACACTTCTCCTTTTATGTGTCACCTCTGGGCATCCCTCTCTAAACATGTTGGTGTTCTATGCCATGCTAATCTTATTTCCTGACACTACCTGTTTGTGTTGTTATGTTACGTCCTCTATGTCCCTAACCTTGTAGTGGACCATTCCCCTTCGACATTACTTGTGTCAACATTTCTTTTCCTTCTACCTTCTCTGAAATGTATGAGGTTCCATTTTCTCCCACACGGGAAAACCGTCTTCCATGAAGATGGTACCTCTGTCTTAGTCAAACTGGAATCAGTAAAGTAGGAGCCAGAAGGCGCAATAACAGTCGGATACCTTGAGAATAACATACCAGATCGCCCACTGGTGAGCCTAGATCATCATCATTCCTAAGTCCTGGGTTGCTATAGTGGATTTTGAGAATTGAATGTAGAGGGTTGAGTCTCACTCGGGAAATGCTACCACCTTTCCTTGAAAGACCCTCTGGACACCCCCCCCCCCAACAGGACCTGCAGCTAGCCGGCTCTCATGAGAACATTCCATTTGCTTAGGGAAACAGGATGCCTATAGTCAGTGAAAGACCCCTACCTAGCAGCATTAAGTTAGCAGCAGCAATAACGCTATTTTGCAAAGCTTGAATTTTTGAGCAATATAACTGAAAGCTAGGACAGGGGAGTTCAATTTAGAGATAAGGGCGTTGGTCGACTTAGGGGCAGGGGCGTTGAGCCAGACAAGATATCTATGGTCGACCATCTGGACTGCCAGCAGGGAACTTGGGGTCCAGAAGAAGAGTTAAACCCTAGATAGGCCGAGTCAGCATACATATCTGATTTCTTGGAAACCACAGAACTGTACTCAGTTTGAACCCGAGCCTTATTTGAATTGCCCAATCAGAACCCTGTAACTATGCATCTCGCTTCTGTACCCGCGCTTCTGCTTCCCTACCCTATAAAAATCCACTGCCCCAACCTGAAGGTGCGCAAGTCCTCCCGAAAGACTTGCTGCCCCCAGGTACCTGTGTTTACTCAATAAACCTCTTGCTAATTGCATCCTGTGGCCTGGTCTCGGAATGTCCTGGTTCTGGGGTCTTCATCAGAGAGGAAAGGTCCTCTCTGAGGGTCTTTCATCCTGTGAGTGAACAAAATGTGGGTACTCTTGAGAAATATCTATTTGCCCATAGGCTTGCTGCACAAGACAGAATCGCCACCCCCATAGAATTCAGGGTGGATCACATGAAAACTCTGGAGAGTCACCAGCAATATCCCAAAAGGCAAGAATTTAAAACCACCTCTGGGCCAAGTGTGATGGCACACGCCTTTAATCCCAACACTAGGGGGAGGCAGAGCGGCAGGCGAATCTCTGTGAATTCAGGGCTACAAAGTAGGCTATTTCGAAAATAAAACCGCCTATAGGGTGACAGCAGGCAGCGAAACCCCTGAGTCCCACAAATCCCACAGGAAAGCTCTCGCAGCTAAGGAGTTTATTATAATAAACTATTTTAAGAACTCGTTTCGCATGCGTCGGAGAGCTGTATAGAACAGAGAATAGTACGAGGTCGTGATAGAGACGAGACGCGCAGTCTGGGACTCCGAGGTACGTCTCCACCTCTAGGAATCCAGAGCAGTTGTTTTCAGGCAGTTTAGCGAATCCCGTGGCGCTGGGTGGCGGCGCGGGCTGATAGCGTCATCTATCTGAGCTCACGCGTTGGTTTCCCTGGCAACCGGCGCGGTCCCGCCGGCGGCGCCTAGGCCGATGCTTGCCCGGCGGCCGCGGGACCCGCTGCAGGCGCTAAGGCGCCGCGGGCAGGATCTAAAACTGCAGGTAGGTGTCGGGGAGAAGGGCTCCACATCCCAGCCGCTCGCCAAGACCCGAACGCCCGGCGGCAGCGTTTTAACCCCGCCCCCCGCCGGAGACAAAACCTCCAGAAAGCCTTGTGAGTCAGCTAACGACTCACCAGCCCCCAGCCCCCTCTCATCCTTCCCGCCCGAGTCTAAACTAGCCAGTTCCACCCCAGTCCTGCGCCACTCCTTTGAAAGTCATCACTTTCTCAAAGGCAAGTGTAACAGGTGTCAACGAATAAACTTAATACCTGAGGTCCGATAAACAAGCCAAGGACAGGATATTGGTAACTTAAGAAAAGTTAATTTAAAAGGAAAT